CTACCCCCAGCCGCTGATGTATGTTTTTTTTAATCAGATGGCTTGTTCAGGAGTGGAGAGGATTAAGACTGCTGCTGCTGCCACTGCTGCTGCCGCTGCTGCTGCCATTGACTCTGTCCCAACAAACCACAAATGTATGCACACAGACAGAGTTTGTATGCACATAATTCAGATCAGGCTGTTGAAATTATCATCACTGTACACGACGTACCACAAACATTTCACATATTTGAGGTACAAGACATTTATTTAATTTTCCTCACATCATCTCTCAGTCAGCCTAGTCAGATTTGGGACAGCAGCAGCAGCAACAGCAGCAGCAGCAGCGGCAGCAGCAGTAAAAGCAGCAGGCAGCGCGGGAACAACAGCAGCAGCAGTCGTTGTCTGCCATGTCTCATTTTATGCCACAATTTGAGCTGTTGGATTTCTGACACAGACTGACGTTTGACACTAACCCCACATGCTTCTGATGGCACTAAGGAACAGATGAAGAGATGGAATCAAATTTTGATAAAGGCATTGGGACAAAGAGAAAGGGAAATGAGACTTGAAATGAGAAGATTTTAAATTTGAAGAATCATGAAGCTAAAAGGTGAAAACTGAAACCGTTTAATAACAGCTATGGTGGAAAGTAAAAGAAGAAAAGGGCCTGAGGGACTGGTACAGAAGGTCAAAGGCAGGAAGTGAGCTAATGACATAGACATAGAGATTTCAGCTGGGGCAGCCTGTGGCTTAGTGGTTTATGGTAGGGGCTGGAAATCAAAGCCCTGACAGGACTAAGCCGTGTTGAGCAATAACCAAAACTCCCACGCTTCCTGGGAACAGTAGTCATGGGGTTGTTTCACAGAGCGTTTAAATAAGTTATTCCATTTATTTCATTACTAATTACTGTGTACTGAAGTGATCAGAGCAACAAGGTGAGCAGCCTTCACTGTAGCTTCAACATTAGCCTCCAGAAAGGGAGAGTCTCTGGTCTGTGGAAAACACCCTGTCTTGTGCCAGTTCCCCAAAATAGGGAGCCCAGCCAAATGGATCAATACAGCCGGCTGTACCTCACCTACTGATCAAAAAAGGGTCAGAGTTACTTCCTGTGCAGACTGAAGTCTTTCAACATGTGCAGTGACATGTAGTACATGGTCAAAATGATGCTTAAAGAACAAGATGCAGATCATCATCTGGACAGTGAGGGCGCCCTCTGCTCTGCATCTCACATCCTCTTTCTATGTATCTGAAAAATGAACACTGATTCCTCTTGGTTTATATCTTGCCTTCATGTTATTGGTCTTCATTCTGTCTTAATTATATTCACTCCTCTTCATCCACCTAAAACCAGGATGGATTTCTGTCAATCTTTGTAGATTTTTGCGCAGAATAGAGAATAGTTTCTAATGTTTTACAGGACGGTGTGAACTTTTCGAGTCAAGTCGCCCTGTTATTCTCCCTAATGTTTGGTCTTAGTGAGAAATCATCAGCTCTTTTGTAAACTTTTAAATATGCACACACAGACCCACACGCACCACGACACACCTCGGGCAGTGAGGTCCTAATGAACCGCGAAGAGAAGATGCAGCTGCATAAGTGAAGTGTTAGGCCTGGAGGGAACTCACACCCTTGGTGGTGGTGTGTGTGTGTGTGTGTGTGTGTGTGTGTATATGCATGTTTGCTTGTGGGTGTGTTATGGAGAGAGAAAGAGAGAGAGAGGCAGTTTACATATTGACTGTATCACAGCTGAAAATCTCTTTGTTTTTACTCGACCTACAGACAGATGCTGACAACCACTGTTTCCATAACCCTGTGTCCTCTCTGTCTCCCCAGGTTTTGAAGGCCTGTTTCTGTCATCCTGTTGTGCAGTGAGGCAGTAAGCTCACGGTGGATACAGCATGCATGTGTCGACGTATCCCATGATGCATTCTGCCTGTTCAAGCCTGCTGCTCCTTAGCCTCCTTGTCCTTGCCGATGCTGACAGTGAGTTTTTCAAACCCTCGCTTCTTCACACACACATTGTCAACATATATTCAAAAATATTCATTCTTCCTATAATTTTTAATACGGCCTCTGCTTCTACCAAGTGACTGAAACACATAATCCCGTCCTCCCTCATGTCGTGTGTATTCAATAGAAAGTTGATATTCTGCCAGCTGTTTGTGTCCAACCCAGAATTTGGCAGAGATATAGAGGAGATACATTTCTACAAATTGTGTGCACGTCAACTGTCACAAGGGCCTCATCCTTTTAGCTACTTGTCACTTGTTATCAGGTTGACTAGACACACTGAAGGATAAAAGAGACAGAGGAAGAGGAAGTCTAAAACCAAAATACAGAAATGCACGTAAGCACAGGCAGCACGGAATCATGGGATCACTTGTAAGTTGAGCGTGGAACGAGCAGGTTATTACGAATGTTGGTCATCATGGTGGTACTCAGAGAGCTCAATGTTTTCTCAGGTGCTACAGAGTATAAAATGTTTGAGAACCACTGATCTATACTTTCTGTTCTTCTAATGTGATCCTTTAATACTGTCTATCCCGGTCTCTCTCTATTAAAGTCTCAGCATCTCCCACTGCTACTTCCAGCTCTGCTTCCTGTCTTTTTGGACAGTCTATGTTTTCTAGACTGTCCAGACTATGTTTTCAGTCTATGAACCATCCATCAGATCTCACTCCTTCCTCACTCTTTTAATCTTGCTCTTTCTTCTGTCAAACATCACCCCGACTACTCATTCACCTTCTCTTCCTCTACTGCTCTGGGCCTCACATTTTTCCCTTGCGTCAAACTCATTCACAAAAATGTGATCTTTTTAGTGTCTACCGCTCGTCTTTCCTTTTTTTCCCGCCTCCGTGATAACATCCAGTATTCCACAATGCATTTCGGTTTTGGATCAACTGGTAGCAGCCCAGTCATCCATCAAAATAATTATGCTGTTAAACTTCCGGCGTGAGAGAAAGGAGAGCAATACAAGTGAGATTATAGCAGAAAGGATTAACCGTTTGTTTCCTCTGTCTGTATATCCTGCCCTTTCATTGTGTGTTATTTTCCAGGGAACAGAAGTAATGGGCTGGAAGTCTATTTTACATCGTTGCGTGCAACACGCAGTGCTTTGTTTAATATTATCTTTGGGAACTACAAAAATACATAGAATTCAAATGAAGGCTTTCAGGTCTTTGGTGTTCAGGATCCATCCATCCATCCATCCATCCATCCATCCATGTGTGGTTAAATGTTAAATGAATTTTCATCAAAGTGACCCTGGTGGAGTTATAGTAAGAATTCAGGATGACAGAATAAGGGAAAAGAAATGTGACAACCTAGCAGTGAGATCTGCTATGATGTATGATTTGTAAACAGTTACGCTTTCTAAAAAAAGAGTAGGTTAATTAGAGGATGCAGAGAATTTTCATCAAAGTGACCCTGGTGGATATGATAGGAAATGAACATACCAGAAGAATAGCTATGGTTGGGTAGCTTGAAATAGGTTAGACTGAGAAGAGATAATGGTCCAGTGTGATCATCCCTAAAGAGTGAAAGTAGCGAAAATTAAAAGTTTCTTCTTCAGTTAGTCTAAACTTCAATAACGTCGTCCACTTAAGGATACACCTTCAGTTTTAAGTAATGTTGCTGAGATGCACTGAGACAGAACAGTATCCCACGTGCATCTTTGCACAACGTTGCATGACACTGTACCATATGTTCGTTCTGCTCACAGCTGCTGGTATAACAATACAAGCAGTCCACCCAGTTTTCTGAGCTGTGCGTGTTTATTTTTTTATCAGCTCTTTTACTCTCTGTCTCTCTCTTCAATCTCCAGCGCCATCCTTGCCATCATTTTTGTTCCTCATAGGGATGGCGTGCTTATGACCATCTATCGGGTGGATTAAGAGTGATGCCATGATCCTGTAACAAAGTAGGCCATTGCTGTGTGGACCCAGCGAGATACAACTAGTGTATCATTCAGGACACTGTGCAACAACAGGAGTTTTTTTCTGCTGACCCTGGTTTGTTTGTTCGAAAACAACAAGCTTTCCTGCTTCTCCCTCTGCAGCTTGGATGTATCTGAAAAAAATTATAGCTGAAATGCACCTCCTGTGTGTAACAGAGCAGCTCCTTCTTTAGCGGCTGCAGCGGGCCAGACTTTGCTGAGTTGCAGCTACATTTTCAAACTGAAGAGCAGCGGTTTAGAGTTCTGCCTAGGGTGGCTTTTTGTAACGTGAAACCCTTTACATTCAGCACGTATCACATCATTTATGTGTTGCAAAAGATGTACATTGGGTTTTGTGTTTTTTTTCTCAGGAAGCTTGGTGTCAAAGTCAACAAGTCGAGTCAGTCACTAAATACCTGCTGCGTTAGGCTGATGTTGAGAGCAAACACAAAGCGTCCTCTGTTGAGTAATTTACCCATCAATTCAGCCACGTTGCCTTGACTAGTTTGGCCTTCGGGCTGGTTCTGATTGGAAAGGTGATGAGGTTATTTTCAACAACGACAGCAAGCTATTTTTTGCGTTTTTAGGAGCCCTAGAGCAAAGGGCCAAAAGTCAGCTGCTCAGAGAGAAGACCTTCATTTAGGGTTCGGATTTCAAGTGTTTGAGGTGTTGAAAGAAATGTCTTAAATCACGACAAATTTACTGGAAACAGATGAAGTCAGGCTCTCTGTTACAAGAAAGAAAGAATTTAGAACAGCAGATGCTCTGCAACATGTCTATTTTGACTTGATCGTATAATTAATGTAAACATTGTGTTATCGTGGGAGTGATGCTACATATACAGGCTTGTCTCTGGCTCAGAGCTGACATGAGATTAAACTGTGATAAGCATTGGGTTTCGTGCGAGGTTCATGGCTCTTTCGTAGCTGATGGAAAAGGTTCTGACAGTTTTCATTGGAATTAAAGAGGCTAGCCCTTAAAGGTCAAAGGTTCCTGGCCCTGGGATTAAGTTGAAAATAAGAGACAGAATCGTGCTCTTCTTGTCTTGATTGTGTCCCTTGTCTGTGAGTGATTGTCATGCCTAATTGGTTAACCCTTAACCTTAGTATAAAACATAAAAATGACGACATCTGCTCTTGACCGTTTGGGGTGAGGAGCAATCACTGCCCCCCAGTGTTGCCTGTGGGTTTGTTTTAGTTTTCTGTTGTAAAATCTTTGAACAAGATGATAATTTTATCATTAACATGGTAAGATAATGTCTATTTATTTATTCAAATAGCTATTTAAAATACAACATTTTCATATTAACATATTAGTTAATTCACATTCACACAGTGGTACATTCATGCTCATCTTCATTTTCACATCAGTCCTTTAAAAAAAAAAAGGAGCCGTGCTCCTCGTTCACAGACTAATGGAACAGATTTGTCCCATATACTTCAGTGTGTAACACAGTGACCCCGTGGTCCCTTCATAAGTCCACCATCATTATCCATTTACATCGGTCTCTGAGTGAGACGGATTAGACTAAAAGGACGTTCCATGTTGATGAGTAAAGAAGTAAAGCTGCTGCTGCTGCTGGATCTCCTCAGTGCCCGGCTTTAAGCAGCTAGCACATCGGTGTAGCCATCCATGAGCAATAACATCTGACCAGTGGTAGCTGGCTTAGCAGCTTCACCACAGTGCATCTTGAATAACATTAGCTCTTGCAAAGATGACCACTGGCCTGTAAGCAATCTGTGACCAGCAGTGATTATCTTTACAGACACCAGCTCTGAGACAGTAGCGTTGCGTGTCCCAGTGGGTATCGCTAGTGGTTCTAATGATCTGTGTATAAAAAAAGACCTCTGTTTGATTAAACACTCTTAATGTGTTTCTAACAAGTTAGCCCCGTTAACTCCCCATTAGTCACACCCCGGGGCAACTACTGTGTGTAAGTGGCACACTAATTGAACATGCATTACTACGGGTAGAGCAATGCAATTAATTACATGATATAGCATCAGTGCATTATCCAATAGGCATGAGCCAACTACCACTTTTTCTAAGAGTCGATTGCAGCTTTAAAATGAGTTATATTACACCCTACATGGGGGCAGTTGTCAGATTGCCAGTTTCACCGTGTTGTCACATATCTTTACGTAGCTGTTTAGTCAAAGTTTATGGCATTAAGCCAATAATTGAATTTTCTATTCTGCCAAATGTTTTCCAATTATCACCTCTTTGCACTCCAGAGGAAGACGACTAACTCTCTCTCTGTGTTTATTGGCCGCAGCAATCCAATTTGACTTCCAGCAGGGAAGCTAGCAGCTGATAATTTGCCCTTAATGTGCCGGTTTGATGTTAATGTGTTTTAAGTTATGGCCGTGGCCAGCTGCCCACCACGTCTTGAGGGTGACTGTCAAGGCCTTGGCTCGGTACTCTAAGTTGGCTTCACGCCTAAACCTTTTCAACAGCCCTGACTCAGTTCTCATTTAGGAAGTTATCAGCTATCCTCCCACAGCTACACCACACTCTGGATTGGTCGTTTCATGAGAGGTTTGAGCAGGCGGAGATCATCAATGAACATCTGTTTTCAGCTTTTCAGAGGCAGTTTAAATGGTTGAGTGTAAATACGCTCCAAAAGCTCGTAGTCCACACGTTTCCAAATGCATTATGTGTGAAGAGAATACACAGTGATATGAATCTCATATTGAATTCAGCTAACGCTGTGACACTTCTGAGACGGTGTATTGAATTCAGCTAACGCTGTGACACTTCTGAGACGGTGTGAGCAGAGGATTTGCTTAGCTTTCACTTAAGGCAGTCTTTCCCAATAAGGGGTGAGAAGACGAGAAGTGGTACACAAGGGTTTGGCAGGTGGTCCGCAGAGTGTATCTGGGATTTTAGACCTAAATGCTTAATGGCTGAGATGATTTTTGTTTGTTTTTTTCATGGTAAATTTATTATGAGTTTCATTAAAAAATAACCAGGTTACTTTGAATATTCTGTTGTTTCATTCCAAATATCTCCTTTTTTGTTGTTGTTGTTGTTGTTGACTTTAGGTGCTATCTGTCAACAAACCAGTATGTGGTCTTGAATTTTATAAAATCCTGAACCCGTTTAAACCCTGCAGCCCAACTCTTGGGCTGTGCCCTAAAGTCAAACGACTTATTTGATTTCTGACAGGAAAAAACTAACAAACTCAAACAAGGTCGTGGTGTTAAAGAACTTCATCATTTTGCACAGGTGATCAGCCCACAGGGCCTGAATACCAGGAGTTTTCCAGCAGTCTGTCAGAAGTGAAAACCCCCCGAGGATGACACTGAAGTAAAACATCTTCAGGGAAACTTAATCTGGTGCAGTTTCCTGCAGCATCGACCCTCCTTAGAAGGGAGTTGACTTTTTAATCTGTGCCATCTGTTATGGAGCTCAGACCCCACTGTATGTCGACCTTTATGTAGGCCAACTTCTGTCCACTGAACACACACACACACAAACCAGTGGAATGATTGTCTGCTTCTAATTCCATCTAAATCCTCCTTTGTGAAGCAGTTAAGTTTCCCCTCTGATCGTCATCTCAGGTCATTTATTAGAGGAAGATGTGGGTGATGTAAGAAGTTGTCCTCGAGCACCTGGTGTTCCGTGTGCTGTCAGGTTCTCCACTCTGCCTACGTTCTGTTATCAACTTCCTACTGATCTCTCATAATTGTTAATATAATATCTATAAAAGAACAAACCTGGGGGAACCCTGTTCCATCCTGAGCACAAATTCATGCCCGGACCTACATGTCAAGGCTTGGTAGAATCAACAGACCCTGAACAAGACACAAAAGAGTAAGCAGTCAGAGGGAGGGGGGGGGTTAAAGCAATTAAGAAAAAGTAAGCAAATCGAAAGACGATATGAAGAGGTGACGGGAGAAACAAAACAGAATAAGATAACCGTGGAGTGCAAGGTTGCAGCAGCAGCCGCCCACCCCCCCCCCCACTCCTCATTAAGTCAGTCAATGTGACAGGAAGACTTATATAACACCCAAGAGATGAAGGGAGGGAATGGGGAGAGTGAAACAAGACGGAGGATGAAGGAGGAAGCGTGCAGCTCTGGATGCGGGGGAGAAAGTGCTGGACCAAGAGAGAAGCGTAGGGCAGCGAGATAAGGGGGTAAAAACCAGGGATAGTGAGACGTCTGAGACATCGAACAGCAGGTCGTCAAATACGGAAAGAAATCAGATACAAAAAATAAAACAGTTGAAGCATTTTCCTTCGCCGTATGACTACTGTCTCTGCACTTTCCATTAGTTTTGAGGGGCGGAGATTAGCAGAAGGATTAAAAAGGGATTCTCTCTCTCTCTTTAGTTATATTTTCTATGTTGGATATATATTTTTTTATTATTATTATTAATTTATTCGTGTTAAAGAGTACCCTGTATAAATGCACCCTCATGAATTTAATCCACCCACGATCAGTACAACTACTGAAAGAAAATTTGAAATGTACTTTGCAGATTCAATTTCTAATTGTATTATCGCTTAAAAATAGAAAAAAAATCTTAAATATATTTTCTCCTCAAATTGGTGAGGTCTTTATTCCAACTTACAGTTATTGTTGCTCTCTGTATATCTGTTAATGTAAGGCAGTATTGCAGCAATTATTATTATTATTATTGGTTCCATTTTAACACATTGGATATTTAAATAATTTTGTAATAATCAGTCCAACAAAGCCTTTTATTCTAATTGATACATTGTTTCAGACAAATAGAACCTGTAACTGTTGCTATTTAAAGGGTTATTCCATGGTTTTAAAAGAGCTCCGATCCTTTTTGACATGTTAAATGTCTTCTCAAATTATCCCTGTAGTTTTGCCATCACTACTGATTTACTACAGAGAATACAATTTCTACTCCCCCACACAGAGTGAACATCGCATCAGAGTATTTGTCTATATTTCCTTTACCATGTACTGATATGTTGAAGTGTCCAGTGTATTTGGATTGTGTTGCACAGACTCTTCCATGACTAGAGACAAGACTAGAAACAATCAGACTGTTACGGATCTGACGGAACATCAGGACCGCGTCAGTCAGTTCTCTCTGTCTCCCTGTCTCTCTTTCTTTCTTTTCCCCTCCCTCCTCTTCCCTCTGCTCCCCTCATTTATGTCATTGACGATTCCCTTCTACGTCACCCGTGCTCCTCTCCATCTGTCTCTCAATCATTTTTATCTCTCTCGCTCATGCACTCGTGTCTGTTCTTCTGCCCTCACTCCTGCAGCCTCCCCTCTGTTCTGCTCGCCTGCTCTAAAAAGCTTAACTTTTCTCTCTCTCTCGCTCTCTCTCCATCTCCCTCCCTTCGTTCATTTGAACAGTGAAAAGCAATTTCTCTCCCTTTGTCAGGGTGGATGGCAGTGAGTCTTTAAGTAGGGATTTTCTGGTTTGGCTGGAATGACATTAGGTAAGCTCACTGTGACGTGCCATGACGGATGTGCAGAACCGCTCCGTCATGATGTCACAATGTAACGGCGGTTATGTTGTGGTTATGATATTGTTGATGCCCCTGGAGCAAGGGTTTTAGTGGTCATGTGAAGAGTAAGTCTTTATAAATCCTTTACGGTACAGAAATATTAAGCTTCTGTGGTGGCAGTGACACTGACAGAACGAAACTGCAGATCATGAACATACAGTATATGTCCCCACACCGTGTATAGTTGTTTCACACCCCTTTGATGAACTGTCTTTGGTTCTTGACCACTGAAAAAGCCTGAAAATAATTTTTTCAGGTTTTCTTTGAATTTTTGCTGCAGCCACTTTTGATTCAGGTCCTTTTGGAAATAACCTTGAACACGTCTCACAAAATATATATTCTCATATAATAAAACTTGTGTGGCATTTTTATTTGCTTTTAAGTGCAATTTTACATTTCGAGGCATTATTTTCATTTTACCTTGCAATCATAAAATATCACAAATCACTGAGAATACCAAGGATTTGTCAGTTTAATAGACACATAATCACCAACAAATGTTTCCCAGAGGACTACTGGCTAAGAACGTGTCGTTTCTCAGCTTGTTGCACAAGCAGTTTATGAGGAAGTTTAAAGGATTGAACGAATAAAGGATAGGAAAATAGATGTAACTATTCTGAAAAAAAAATCATCACACTATTCAAAGAATTCATCCACTGTTCACCAAATCTTGGCAAGATTGGTCTAAGATTGGTCACACAACATGACAACTGGGTTGATCGTAATTATTTTGGACTAATCATGATTAATTGTGATCATAATTAATCTTGATTAATCCAGATGAAGCAACATTTTTAAACTAAAGAGAAAGGTACATAACAGCAGGCTATATATATATGTGAAAATGTACAACTCAAAATGTCCTATTTTTCTTTCAGCACCCCCCAGATTCTCAAGAACCCCAGAAGACCAAATAGGAGTCCAGGGGGGCGTGGCTTCATTTGTGTGCCAAGCCACAGGAGACCCACAGCCCAAGATTGTCTGGAATAAAAAGGGAAAAAAAGTCAGCAACCAGAGATTCGAGGTATGACGCCAAATAAATGCACCTTGAACTAGATGTGTGTTTGGATTAAGCTAATACGATAAGACAGCAGGAGAAGTTCATGTAAAGAATCAGTGTTTCCTAAACCCTGTCCCAGCTCATGTTTCAGTGTCCATTATTTATAACATACAGCCAGTGACTTGTCGAAGGGTTTACAGCATTTATGTGTTGCTTTAGTGAAGTTTAGTTGCCAGCTAATTGCTCACCCCAAATGGCAAAAGCAAAGTGATACAGCCTACTGTCGTGTGTGTGTGTGTGTTTTCAAAGAGAAGAAGGAGGAGAACTCTGTCCGTCTCCTATGGTGCTGGAGTTACAGGGTTATATGATGAAAAATGCTTTATATGGATCACATAGGAGTTACTTACGTTGGCTGAGCGATGCCTCTTGACTGGAAAGCACTCTGTGAAGGGTCGCTGAGTTGGCGTCTGTGGGATCAATTTTGTGGGCAGTTCATTATGATAGGGCACCATGCAAACAGGCTGGACTCACTGTGCAGGTAACAGTGGCAGAACAGGAAAACTAGTGAGTGTTACATTTTCCTATAATAATAATTATATAAAATTATATATAAAAAATTAAAATTTGAGCTTTTATATTATTTTATTTATATATGCTGTAAAATTAGGGACCACGCAATATTTTCTATTTAATCCTCACAATTTTGGTTTTTAGTCGTAGGCCAGATTGCGCGGTTCGGTGGGTCAGATTCAGCCCATGTGCCGACTTTTGTTGACACAAGGCCAGGGCCAGATTCAGCCCGTGTGCCGACTTTTGTTGACACAAGGCCAGTTGTTTCACATGTAAGACAGTTAAAAAAAATTCAGTCACAATAATGTGTGACACATTTGTGGGTCAGCCACACCCTGTCTAAACACACACCCTTACAGTCTGATGAAAGGTGACGTTTCAATAATGAGGTCATTTTCAGTTGTTCTTTCATCGACAGACATTTTATGGAAATAAAAAAAAAAAACCTATAACACCAGTTACAAGTGCTGTTGGTTCGTACTCCAAAGGTTATACAACAGTGTAAAAAGCTATTGACTCTGACTTCTTCATATGTCAGATGACGCCTTGGGCCACAGTATATGAGATTCTGATATGACCAGACTTATTAGTTTCCTAGAGGCTCTGACCTTTGATTTATTTCTTCACCTCACTTCACCAGTCACTCTTAGATGGAGATGTTGAACCAGTTTCTCCTCCACCCAGTCAGTGTAGCCCTGAGCTCAGGGGGGCTTTTCCACTTTAATAAGTCGACTTTCTTCCCAGGTTGAAGTTCGTCTAGGTGTTTTCCTGTTTGTGATTATATCACTTGGAGAGATGATTTATTTTTAATCTCTCCTATATATAAACCCCCATCGAGCTACTGTATATTTGTCGCTGCTGTCTCTCAGGAGACACTCCGGGGTTGTCTTTTTATTGGATTTTAGCCTTTTACAATTCAGTATCCAGATTTCACAGAATCCATGAATTTTATGCAGCGCCATCTGTGATTTACTTTGGGCTTTTGAAAGTACACATCCACACGTCCTCATTGGCATAAAACGAGCTGGAGACATTTTTCACTTTCTAGTTGGAGCACTGCTTGTAGTCTACTGTCTTAATTTGAATGCAATGTTTATGGTGATTGATCTGATGCTGTGGAAACGCTGTGGATGCCTTGCGGCCAAGGATTAGCCTGCGACTACTTCTGCTCATACACATACATACTGTATATGAAGATATATATATATATATATATATATATATATATATATATTTATTTATTTATTTATTTATTTATTTATTTCTCTGTCTACTAGGTAATAGAGTTTGACGATGGATCTGGCTCTGTCCTGAGGATCCAGCCACTGAGGACCCCCAGAGATGAGGCTATTTATGAATGTCATGCCTCCAACTCTGCCGGAGAGATCACGGCCACCACCAAACTAACAGTACTGAGAGGTCAGTGCACCGTACCACCAGCAGTTCTCTCTGTAGAGCTGTCAAACAAGGGTTTTCACTGCTCTAAATAAATACCTGAAATATTGTAACTGAGGTGCAACTAGATTACGGTCTGCCAGATCATGAACTATTAAAATAAAAATTAAACAATAAATGTAATGTAATAGCATGTAGTAGTAACCATATATTATAAGGATTGAATGATATCGGGCCATAGAGATACATGTATTCCATCAGTACTCTGAAGTAGGTTGGGTTTATATTAGTAAATATATATAAAACATTTTTAATCTAATAGATTACTTTAGCCTGATTGTTTGAATATCACCTCCCAAGCCAAAATAGTGTAAGCACTGCTGGTGTAATCTGACCCTCACACTCTAACTGAAACATGTATAAATGATCCTTTAGTCTTCACTTAACTGCTTAATCAACATGGCACACACATACACACACACACACGTCTAGCCCGCATGTATAGACCAACCAGCCACATGGAAACTGTGTGTCTGATGTCAACCAGCTGGACTGTGTCCTTTATGATGCTAAATGCTAACGTTTTCTATGGTTTTTGTTATAATTGAAGCCCTTGACGCCAGTTGAAATTCCACATGAACAGACAATTAAGCTTTTCTTATTTTTAATTATTCATAAACACAGACATGTACAGTATTCAAAGGGAGATGTCAGGGCGTTTGGAAGTGTACATTCTGTATTAATCATCAACTCCAGCTGTGCCTATAAACCATCCCTGACTGTTCCATTAATAGGTAATGACTTGAGCTGTACATACATACAACCATAATATATCTCCACATACATCACATGCACTTGCTGCAGCAGTTTAATACCAGTCTATTAATCAATAGCACTTCTTAAATAAACTTCCTAACCCAACATGGTTGCATCAGCTCGAACACATTTTTCTTACTTGTTTGTGTGTAGTCATTCATATGTTTCAGTTTGTGTCAGGGTTCATTTGTAATTGTTAATTATACTCAGAAAAAAAGAAAAACTAAATAAAATTGTTCCTGCAGGCAGGAAATGATTATGGAATGTAACAAACACTCTGATTGGCTGTGGAGCCAATAAGGTGAATTACAGTAGAGTTAGGCATATATCGTAATTGGATAAAACATGACGTAGCCAGTTATCTATGAGTCTAAAGACATTATCTTTACAAACATTGTGATTCTTTCGCTGACATTATGTTAAGTCCCCAAAATATAGACTTTATATGAGAAAATGTGTATTTCAGAAACGATTCCTGTTTCTTTTTACGATTCGTAATTGATGAGATTTGAAGTTTTACTCAAAACTTGCCCCTAAGGCTGTACTTTTCAGTAGTAGATTTGTATTTAAATGTACAAGTGAAAGCTGGGCTGCATGGCAGCAGACGGTTGTATTAGTGTTTGGCAGAGTCCATTATTGCAGATAGTGATGTTAGTGTTAGTGGAGTCCATTAGGAGAACATTATGTACCGGTAGTTTGAATCTGAAGAGTGTCTTAGTGAGTGAAGCTGCTCGAGTGTGGATAATCACATCGCTTGCCTTTACAGTATATACTCGTGGGGATTGCCAGCGCTCTCTGTTTCTCACTCATTGTCTCC